ACACTAAAATATAAGTACGCTCGTAGTTAACTAAAAATGGAACAAGCCAATGTAATATTAAACCTATTTGTACAAAAATGTTCAGCTGTATACGGTAAATGGTTAGAAGTAAAACACCCCGTAGTGCACGAATTATAAATAAAGGATAGAAATGTCTCGTTCCTCCTAGTTGATACATAACGTTTGTTGTATAAAACTAACACAGACTATGCGGCAGTGAAAGTTCAAAATAAAGATATTAGAGTGACAAAGTTAGTCAAAGTGCATCAGCATTCCGGGAACTTTGCTGATCTTAACGAAGAAACTGGATGGTTTTTACTATAGGACAAAAGAACATATTTAAATTTGCCATAATCATTTGACTATAAAATGTTATTTAAATGATCGATTATACACATTTTGGTTTCACTTGACTATGAGAACAGCTTGAGAACAAAAAATATATTTAAGGAGTAGTAAACTTCATCTGTCTCTGTAAATGGTCGCTATTCAGCATTAACCTTGATGATTTTCTTTCGTTAAGCTAATTTTGATGATGAAAAATAGCCTAGAAATTATTCTCCCACTAGTCCCACGCCTCAAACATCTATACATCTACAACGAAAGACCAGATTATATAGACAATAAGCAATGTTGGCTATTCGATTTGATTCAAAAAACTTATATATATAAGCGTTCTACTCAGCCAAGTAAATAATATAGGAATAGATATAACCAAGGGTGTGGCACACTGGATACTTCGACTAAGTCTCCATTTTTCACTAGAACTCACTAAAGTTGGAGCGAGGACTTCTTTGCACAATTGAACAATCTTCCTTACGCAACAATCATCATTCTGTTTCCGGTGAAACTACACCACGAGTTCATTCCAAACAACTTTTACTTCAAAATAAAGGGTCATGCCCCAATATTTCATTAAGGAATTCTTCGACACCCATTTATCTTTATACCTTTATTTTAGTCAGTATTTAACTTCATGTATCTGTAAGTAGTTTGCCAATGATGAAAAATTTCTCACAAAAATATTTTAAGTGCAAAAATGAAAGCTGATTAATTCTATCCTCTCGCATTTAAGTTAATGTTTTTTAGCCTACCTTACATTAGATATTTTAGTTTAATCTTATTACTAAGTAATTTCAAATTTCATTTATAAGATGTCCTTGTAAATAATTTGAGTTTACTGGCAATAGATAGGTGTCAAAAATAACAAATATGCTAAGAAGGATAAAAAAGTTTTGAAAAATAACATCTATATTCATTTCAATTACAAAATAATGCTAAAATTCAAAGTAAATAAAATTTTTGCTTACAATGCATATTGAAACTCTAGATTCTTCCAATTAATATCGAAAAATAACACTGAATCTATTTAGATTTTATGGTTCTATTTAAAACTTCTACTTTTCTTCTAAGATATGGTTATATTCGCTTTTCTGTATGTCAGCCCCCATTTTTATTTATCTTTTTTAAGTAATAATATTTATCTATTTAATTGGCTTACAGGGTTTTACAAGATACCTGTTCCTCAGTGAAGATCTTCATCCGTACAAATTTAGACAAGCAAATAGGAAGATTTATTAGATTTAGACTTCATTAGTGCAATATGAGCTAATTGATCAACATAAAAATGATAATATATTAGTAGTTCATCAACCAGAATTTTGTTATGAATACTAGAGAACTCATTATTTGTTACGATATGAATTTCTGAGCAAAACAAACTTAGTCAAATATTTGAAATTCTAAAACGTATTTTTTTCCGGCTTACCTGTTTAGCCTGTGCAGTATCAAACTCTAAATATTTAAATTTTATGTTAGGAAGCAAGGAAATTTCAGTCTGTTATATAAACAAATATTTGATATTTTAATTAATTATGATACATCTCTTTGCACCGAGCACAGTTAACTCAAGTAATCATCATTTTGTCTGAATAAACGTTTTTATTGCTAAAATGCATCCATACTTTCATTTTTCTTTTGATAGAAAGGTACCTTATCGTACTCAGTGTAGTAAAGTATTTATATTCAATATGCATTCAAAATACATCATTCCCACAAGATTTCATTTCCAAACCTTACAGAGTTTTTTTAGTATTTTTACCGTTCTAATAAACCAATTAGGATTCACAACTCCAAGCATTATAAGATAGAATTGTTTTTAGTTGGATTTCGAGACTATCAGTAAATCTTGAATAAGAACCTTAGTCACCTATGTCACTTATGTTGAATTTTTCCACAGTGGATTGAATAGGCATTATGATGCCGTATCTCTCAGTAGGCCAGAGGGTGGAACTAAATTTCAAGGTATGCTAGGTCTCTTCCTTATTCAATCTTTATAGTGAGATTGCCGCTAGCTTTGACATTACAATCGACCACGTCACTTCTAATCCTTTATATTAGGATATTCTGTCTTATAATATCTTCTGATAGTCTCAAATGTGTATTTACTAATAAAAAGTAGAGATTATATTTATAATAGCAAATATATATTTAATTTGGAGTCAATTCCACTCTAAGGATGGGATCTGGAAGAGACCATACCCAACTTTCAATTCGATTCTGACTTGTGATCGACTGGCTATTTGTGGTAATATTGCGCAGAGGTAAAATTATAAATAGTATACACTACGCTTTTGAGATTCGATGGCATTTGAGGCGACAATGAAAACCCGGCGAGGTTGGAATTTCAGACCATTCTAAATAAGAATATATTTTGTGAGAGAAGGTTAAGTGAGATTCATTGGTTTCGCACTGTTGGAAAATTAATTTGGCAAAACATTATGTTGATTTTTCTAGGCATCTATTAAAGTATCGAGACGAGACCTTAGGAAATTCTATACTAAGTATATGTAGCTTCATCCAGGTTTAGTTAAGGCCGATTGTTTAGCGATTAGTAATTACTTGTCATGGAGTTTTGTTCATATAATAAAAATACAAGTAATAATGTTTTCATTATATTTCTGTGCTAATAAACTTTTGAAGCCATTAATAGAATAAGTGATTAATTCATACAAAGCTTGCTATAGCCTTTTTTTATCTCATGTTCTCACATCATTTTGAGAATTTGCTATACAGGCGTGTTATACTATTGCATTTACATATAAGTAGCTTGCACAGCCACGGATACCAGTGGGTCACAGCGCAAGGATGATATTGAGGATAAGTCTCCTAAAATCAACTTAATCGGCTTGTGACGACTAAGTTCCTATAGTCGATTATATTTTGTAAAGAATCAGAAGTAATTGGAGGAAAAGTCTTTTGTGCTGGAACTATATTCGCATTATTAAGCTAACCCTTAATATTATTGCTTATTTAGATACTTTTTATTTTTTGTTCCAAGAAACTCCGGTAGTTGGAATGGGCTTGTCAAGTCGGGGCGTAGTCAAGCTATTGGCTATATTATCGCGGCCCATTCATACACCAGGTACCGTCCAAGGGCAAATTTCTCCGCGCTGTCCTGTGCCTTCGCGACTCTGCTGGCTTCAGCTCTACTACTTACTTTCATTTCATTTACACCGCCGTCTTCTCTGCTGTGTGCTAATCTGTCTTATCTTCTTTTTTATGTTAAATCAAGTATCATTCATTATAGCCCTCAGACCTCCATCCATTATTTCCCAAGCTTTTAAGAATTCAGGAAACTTCATGCATGATCTTGTTTTGCCGGCACCAAGTGCAACATCTGTTGGAGGTCTAGTCGCCGTCTTTAAGTTAGGGGATGAGACACCAGCTGATGTCTTAATTGGCAACCTTGTTCGCCAAACGCCTAGCATTCCGGCAGAACTACTTAATCATACCTCTGCCACAGCCTTGCTGGACTCAAAAGATGTAGCGCCGCGTCTTCTTCGCTTAACGGATACCGGTGATTTATTCACTCGACAAGTAATTGATCGAGACAACGTAGAGACCGTGTGTGGACCACTGGATTGCTGCCAACTGGCTGTGTGTAATCTAACCTTCCATGTGGTGTTTTTCTTTAGACTCTTTAACGATGCTTTCTCCTTGCTGGTTCACATCTACATCTATGACGCAAACGACAACGCTCCAATCTTTCCTAACCCCAGTGGATATGCACTTCTGGCTTCGGCAGATAAACCAGTTGATCTTAACAGTAATGGTGACTCATTCTTTGAGCCGAATGAGCCGTCAATAACTCTATGGCTGCCAGAAGACGAAACTGCAGAAAATGGAAAAGGCCACAGTCTACCTACGGCCATAGATCTGGACTCTCAAGCCAACAGCATTATTGAATACCGGTTAACAGGGCCTTCAGTAAATGCAGGTCTCTTCCGACTGAAGCAAATGCAAGCAAAGAATGCAGATGCCATCCCAACTTTGGTGGTAGGACCAAATGCTCGACTCGACTATGAGAAGCATGAGATGCGACGATTCCATCTTCAACTAGAAGCCATCGATGGTGGCCGGCCTGCACGTGTGGGTCGTATAAATATTGTGGTTCGGGTTACTGATGTGAATGACAATCCTCCAGTATTTGAGCATTCTGCAATCAGTATTTATTTAGAAGAAGCCAAGCTTTATGAAGAACCAGTCTACCGTGCACGGGCATTTGATGCTGACTCACGAGAGAACAGTAAGCTGCGATATATTCTGGCTGCCGGCTTCCCTGATCTTGATGACGTGCTATTGGATAAATTTCGATTAAACCAGCATACCGGTGACCTTATTCTTAGACTTCCCCTTGATTACGAGCGCTTCCAAGAGCGTCGTTTTGTCCTCCCTATAGTGGCTGCGGATGCCGGGCTACCAAGCCTCTCCGCGACGGCAAGTCTTACCATTAATGTGGTGGACGTAAATGACAATATCCCAGAGCTAGTGGTGCAACAGAATTTTACTGTTCCAGAAAATGGTCCACCAGGTAGCCTAGCCTTACGCCTTGAAGTGCGTGATGCTGATGAAGTGTCTCGGCATAAAGTCACCTGCAACGCACCAGCTCAGGCGGAGTTGCCTCTACGGCTGGTTAAGGAGGCCGGTGAATCGGTCCTCAAAGTCTACGTTACAGCAACTCTTGACTATGAAAAGACTCCATATCTAACCTATCAAATTGTGTGTGTTGACAATGCCGAACCAGTGCAAACTCATACAATTCATGTAACAGTGTCTGTTGGTGACCTAAATGATAACTCTCCTTTCTTCTGCAATTCAGAGGGCCTCATCACAGAAGCCTACAACTTGACTTTGCGAGAAGATGAATTAGTAAATAGGGTGGTATTGAGTGCCAAGGCTAAAGATATCGATAGTCAAGAAAACGCTCGGCTAACTTACCGACTATACACTTCCACACCAAATAATTCTAGCAGAGTCGGCAAAGCGGATAGTGACCCAGAATATTTTCACATTGGAAGCAATACAGGAGAAGTGATGCTACGCCAACCACTCGACTATGAAACCAAGCAGCGAATGGATCTGATTATCGAGGTGCACGATAATCCAACTACTGGTAAGGCTTTAACAGCAACCGCAAAGTTGGCCGTCAGTGTGTTGGACGTTAACGACAATCAGCCCGAGCTGGTATCACCGAGTGAGCTCAGACTTCGTGAAAATCAGCCTGCAGGCACACTAGTGGGGCATGTAAAGTTTATTGACCATGACAGCGGCCCAGCTGGTGAGGTTAAAATTTATCCTGGGTGGCCACAGGTAAGAAAGTCGCCTAAAGCTGCTCCTTATGGCCGTTTTAATCCAGAGAATCAGTATCCACTAGGACTACTCGAATATCACTACAACTCCGTTGGAAGGCCAGAACCTTCTGGTCATCTTGCCTTCTCCGATTCAGTAGCGTCACAATTCTTTGAGCTCAATTTAGAGTCAGGTCAACTCATAACTTTGGCCCAAGTTGATCGTGAGAGCTTTGCTATAATTTTTTTAGAGGTGATTGCCATGGACAATGGCAAGCCAACTCAAAATAGCGTTACTGTTACTTTGACTGTGAGCATTGTGGACGAGAATGACAACCCACCTCGGCTACTAAAACCACATTCTGGGGAATTACTTACACTTCCAGCAATGAGAATGCATGTATCGAATGAAGAAATCTTTGATAAGAAGGATCAAGTATTGATGCGTTTACAGGCATATGATGAGGATCAAGAAGAGAATGGTCGCATTACCTACAGCTTAGCTGAAACTTGTAATGCCTCAGATTTTTTGAAAGTACAGCCAAACAATGGCCACCTTTTAATAAAAAATATATGGAAATCTAAACTAGACAAGAGCACAAACAAAACTGACTTGGTTCACGCTGTGTCGACTAGAGAGGTGTTAGTTCCTGATCCTGGAATTTATCTGATTTGTGTACATCTAAAAGATAATGGCCTTCCATCGCTTAGCAGTGAGGCTTCATTTTGGCTGCGCATTGCTCAGCCGGCCAGCAA